AGTTCAAGCAAACCGGGAACGGAGACGGTGCAGGGTTCAAGTTGATTTGCCCCTGTCCTGCACTGCTGATCTGTTGTTGAACTGAATTTTACCTCTGTTTAGCCTGGGAGAGTGGGGAGGTCATTTATACCAAGTAACTGTGGTGTCTCCCTTCAAAGAAACATGAAGATCAGTTTAAGATTCAATTCAAAATTATTTTTAATCACTGTGGACTTCCTCAGTCTCCCGGGGGAAACCTGTTCCTTTTCGACTGCCTGATCCTGTTTCTCTTCTGAACACAGAGTGGAATCTGGAAGGAGCAGCTCTTTCCTTACCTGTACAAGTTATGGCTTAAAAATGCCCCTCTGTGCTTATTTTTCACTCCAGAGCATCTTTTGTTACACTGTGAATGTTGTTCTGTAGAATAAATGTTTGGGATTATCACCTCCTTTGTTCCTTACTAAAAAATGGACACTTCTGGAAGTAAATTGGATAGGAAGAAAAATGGGAGGTGACTAAAGAAGTAACTGCTCCAGGCTGGGTGTAATTAACTGCTCTTTGTCTCTTGCATGCAGGACAAGTCATGGCTTAGACTGCCGGTGGTGGGGAACTCCCTGCAGTGGGCATGGCTCAGCACGAGGAGGAGGAGAGAGTGGCTCATGGCAGGGCTCGTGGAGGACTTGCAGAGCCAAGCAAACCCCTGCAAAATGAGAGGGGACTTAGTTTCTGTGATTTGGTTAAGAACAGTCTTAGGGGCCCTTTAACATCAGTTTGCATCTTCAGAATTAGGTGTAACTCTGAGGTGTGGCTAAAACAGGATGAAGAGCAGGAAAAAGCCCATGCTGGGCAGCCGTGCTTGGGTGGGTGAAGAAGATGATGGTCCAAAGCTTAGGGTCCCTGTCAATGGACAGGAGGGCTGAACCCCATCATGGAGCGAGTGGCGATTGGAGGAGCAGAGCCTGCATGTGCTGATGGCTCTGCCAGCACCCCCAGATACTGGTTCATTGCCAGTAGATGTAAAAACAGCTGTTCAAAGATTATCTGGGGTTTACAGCTTCCTCAGACCCTTCTTGAAGAGCTCTTGAAGGATGAAAATCACGCAGTTGCTCCTTCTGCCTCTCTAGCATAGGGGATGTCCAAGCCTATCCTTATAAGCCCTTTAGGCTTCTGTTACGTCTGCTGGAAACAGAAGAGGCTTTGGAATGGGGTGAAATGGCTTGGCAGAGGCGGCTGCTTATTTCCTTTGAAGGACAGAGACGTTTATAGCTACCGTTGAGGCTTCCTCCAAGGAAACTCTTTATCTGAGAAATGTGAATTACAGTTAGTTTTCCCTTCAGAAACCAGGAGCCTATGACTATGGGATGATTCTTCCTTCTCCGTCCAGTGTCATTCTTGGGCTTTTTGTCCTCTTCATAGCCCTTCTAGTTAGCCAAGGAGAAGGTAGGGTGTCTGGAGTCTTACAGCCTCTTACTCTTAGGCCATACTCCCACCCTTGGGCCTTCGATAGCAGGAGTTTGCCTGCCCTAGAGCTCATCTTCCTGAGGGCTCCAATGCTCATCAACTGTGCATCATCCCTTTTCCAGTGGAAACAGACTCCTTGCTGCTCCCTCCTTTGGCTGATTCCTTGCAGGAATGTCCCATCTTGTGTGGCTGGGGTTATACTAAAAGGAAAAAAAGGTACTTTACCAAGAAAACCAGAAGGGGAGCAAGTCATCTTCCTTGCCTTCTCCTCGAGTCAAGCGAGGCTGTGACTCTTCACGAGCACAGTATATGCGGTATTTCTGAGAGCCTTAAAAGTACAGTAAATTGAGTTTGCCGTCAAAAGGCAACAAGTCTTATGCTGTGCCCCTGGCTGCTGACCTTTCCCTCTGGAATTCTCCCCTCTGACCTCCGGATCATTAATCCTGATGCTGCCAGATGACAGTAATCCATCATGGCCCCTGACAAGCCTTGCAGCCGCCTGTGAAAGGATCCGCTCGGCTTCAGCAACCAATCGTCCCATGATACTCGTTTTTCAGCCTTTCCTGTTTGAGCGCTGCGGGCTTCCAATAAAGACTTTATCGCCTTGCTTTTCCTCGGCGAGGGGCTGGGGGAGGAGAGGGCTCCGAGCACAGCCTTTCCATGCTTCTCCTTTGCAGTCGGCTGCTCTAAGCGTGCAGAGTGGGTGAGGAGTACAGTTAATTTGCCGGGTCCCAAACTCGAATCACTCTTCGCTAGCTCTGGGAGATGTTACTTTGAGTGGTACTGTGAGAGTGTGCAGGAGGAAAATGATTGCATCTCCATGCTCAAGTGGTAGAAGGGTGGAAGTAGTTTTGTCCCTGCCGTAAAATTTCTCAGCCTGTATAAGCAAACCTGGGGGAGGGGATGGGGAACTATAGGTTTTAGTTTATAAAACTGCTAATTAAATTTCAGGGCACTTTGGTCTGTGGGTCGTGTTTAAAAGCAAACTTCAGGAAGGGAAGGTGTCGGAGGGGTAGTAGCGTGCAGCGGGGAGGTGGGATCCAGTCGCTCTTTCTGCCCCAGCCAGGGGCAGGCTCTCTGCAAATACATTTAAGCTTTTATTTCCCACTGATGCGGATAATGCTTGTCCCTTTCACAGGAACATTTGGATCAATCTACTGGTGTACCTTTTCAGATGCTGAGATGGGAGAGTCTGGAGAAGAGTAAAACTGTTCAGGATAAATGCAGTATATTTAAAAAGTAGATGTTTCCTTATATTTCTGTATTAGTGGCTTATTTGCTTGAGGAGCCTTATCCATGACCCTTCCCTTTCACTCTCCATCTGGTCACTGTCTAAGGAGAGCTGGATGAAAGCCCCTTCTGGATAAGTTAATGCTATTCCCTAAATTGGATTGGGGCAGAGTGGGTGGCTGTGAGGAGCGTGGGGTTGCTGGAGGAGTAGGGGAAGAGGGTCTGGATCCTGCTCCAGTGGGGCAGAGGCTTTGCTGGCAACGTGAGGACCCTTAGTGCACCCTAGCTTTCCTTGCTGCTGAGGCAGAAATGTTAATGGAGAGGCATTTTGGGGTGAAAAAACACCCACCTCTCCTTCCTGGAGACCTCTGAGCTAAATATTTCCCCGCTTTTCATTAGAAGTGGGCTGGGTGTGACTCTGGTTACTGCGGCTCAGCTGATGAATGATAACTTCAGGCTGGTAACTTGATCACGGCCAGCCCTCTGTGTGTCTGAAATGACGCTGTTAGCGTGCTCGTAATCTTTGCAATAACGCGCTGAGACAAAATGGTGGCGGAGGAAGAAACAAAGCAAGTGGAGGACTGCGTTTACACAGCCCGGCCTTTTGGGAGGGACCGGCTCCTGGCTTGGGGCAGCTGGCTGGGGTGGATGGAGCCACAGGGCGTTTAAACAGCTTGGAAACGTCTCTATCTCTGCTCCCTGAGGGAACTGTCGTCTGTGAAATGCAGGAAGAGGATCTGATGCAGTTTGTGAAATTACGGCTTTGTGGACTTTTCTGTTGTGGACAGGGAAGGGGTTGTTTAGACAAGGCAAGGAAAGGAGGATGTGATAGATATAAAATGACAAGCACACAGACCCAAGCCTGATCAGGTTGCTCTTTATGTTTTCTTACAGTTTAGGAGTTAGAAACTTGGTGAAATTGAAGGCGGCCCTTTTAAAGCTGAGAAAGTTTACTTTTTCTATCCAATATCCCATTAACCTGTGGGAATTGGTACCGTGAGCTAATGCATAACAGGCCTCAAAAGGAAGAGAGGGGAAAAAAAATTACACTTACATGTATAATGAGGACATCTGCAGAGCCGAGCTGAACTCCTTTTCACTAAACAGAATAAAACCCATTTATAAGGGCCATAAACTGCTGTGCTTCGGGGCATTAACCGAGTCACTGGCTGACGAGCAGCGGCAGAAGTCTCCCCCGTGGGTTGGGTATTCCGTAATTGTCCATTACAGTGCTTCGCAGCCTTTCCTGTAAAGGTTGGTGCTGACCGTCGTGGCACACAGGATACTGACCTCAGATGGACGGCTCTTTGATCCAGGACAGTATTTCCTATGCAGAATAAAAGGTTTGCTACATCAGCGTTTTTCCCCCTCTTCCTCTCCTTGCCCAAATCTCATTAGTTTGACCTTTTCAAACCCTTTTCTCAGCCCTGTTAGCCCACAAGATGACAGAACTGAACAGAAAGCACAGAGCTGTTTCCTTGTCTGTCCTTGCAAGGATAGAGCAGGACCCTGTTTTGGGATCTGAAAGGTGGTTGGATGCCTGGCGCTGGCTGTGCGGTGTCTGCAACCAGACGGGCTGATGCTCGTTCTGCTACTCGTCTGTTCACCTCCATCAACGTGGTTTCTCTAGTTGTCTCGCCACACGCTGCTGCCAGGGTGCACCTGTGGCCTCACCGGTGTGTCATGGGGAGCGTGTTCAGGAAAAGAGAGTGGGAGCGGGGAACGTGCTGTGTGAGAGCAGAAGCCGTAGCAAAACGTTAACGCACGTGCTTGTGAGGGAGGATGGAGGTAAATGTATGTGGGGGAGGGAGGTGCTCTCAAGTGTCACGTACCCTTTTCTGTCCCCTTTTCTGTTGCTGTTCCCAAGCAATACAGGCTAGCAAATCCTGAGGAGCGAGGGAGCTGAATCCCAATGTACGAGTCACTCGAGTTGCGTGGCTGCTCAGCTCCTTCCTGAGCAATACAGATTTTTATCTGAGATTGCCCTGGCAGCTCATAAAAAACAATTCCTCCGTGCTGCTCCCTCACCCCTAGGATTGAATAGTCCCTACTTCCCCTCTTTCTATTTTAGAAGTTGCTCGTAGCTGCAGGTTATTATTTGTCTGATAATTGCCTTTGCCTACAGGAAAGGATTTTTCACAAAAAGGACATGCCATGTAGCTACACTTCTCTGACTTATTTACTCACCCATTGAGAGGCCTCAAGTCAGGCTACAAATAGAGTTGCCTGAATTTCCTATTAGTAGGAAGATCAATAGCCCCAACCTGCTGGTTTTCTTGGCCTCATTTTCTCTCTGACTCCATGTTTCCTTCCCTGCTGTTTCCTTGCAGGAACTCCCATCAATCGAATCCCCATCATGGCAAAGCAGATCCTGGATCTCTACATGCTCTACAAGCTGGTGACTGAGAAAGGAGGGCTGGTGGAAATCATCAACAAGAAGATCTGGCGAGAGATCACCAAAGGCCTTAATCTGCCCACCTCCATCACTAGTGCCGCGTTCACACTTCGCACCCAGTAAGTCCGGGGGGTCTGAGCGTGGCCCTGAGTGCAGAGCGGGGACTGGGGAGTGCAAAGCAGGGCCTGGGGTGGAAAAATTGGAAGAGTAAATTCTATTCTGGCTGTGGAGGAGCTGGTAAATTGCTTTATTTCTCTCTCACCCAAGGACTGCAATTTTTCCTTTCTGTTCCTTCTCTTGTCCTGAACTCGTTCCCCTTCCATCCCTACAATCCCAGCACCTTGCTCGCCGTGCTATGTGCCTCTCTCCATCCTGTTGCCTTTTTTGCCTCTTCAGGGCTTAAACTCCTCAGGGTAAGGCGGGTCTTGCTTTGTCTCTGAAGAGCACTTGGCACAGTGAGGAGGGAGAGAGGCAGGCCTCCTGATTTGGAGACATCAAGTATGAACTTGATCATTTAATGCCTGTTATGACTAATCAGTTGTGAAAACTTGCATTTAGCACCTACTTACTTACAATCCACTACAAGGATTGCTTTTCTGACCTGCAGTACCTCACGTTGATTAGGCAAGCAAAACAAAAAGGGAAGTAGTAGAATGAGCAGAGGGAAAAGAATGGTGAAAGTAAACCTACTGTAAAATTGAAGCAACAGGGCGAAGCTGTGTTGAGTAACTTGAGCATGGAAGGCTGGGTTTTCGGAATCCACACCCAGCTCTTACGCAGCCTTGGTTTTCATGCAAGTTGTCATAGCCCCTGATTCCCAGAGAGGGAAGCTCCTTGCCATTTCTACAGCCTTTGGCATGAACAGGCTGTCTCACGCAAACCTGCGCGTGGCACGTGCGAACGATACGAATGACTTGGACAAAGGGTAATTCCTCCAACTTCCTTCCTTGCGTTAAGTGTTACAGTCCAAGATCTTAATTCTTGTCATTCTAGATGGTATCTCAGTTGTAAAGGAATTCTGGATTATTCTTTTTTGCACATGTGGGTGTAGTAGTATGTAACTATGTACTTGCCTCTAAAGAAACTTTGAGTTTACTCAGTGTTTGAGAGCGCTGTGCTTGACACGTAAACTGCTCAATGCTTATCAAACCAGGTGCAGCAGCGGTCATGATACGCAGACAAAGGCTCCAGCTCTGCAGGGGACCTCAGTCTGAAAGTCCTCCTGAATGCAGTGCTTGGTGCTGCAGCCTGTAATTTCACGTTCTCTCGAGATACCTACTTGAGCTTCCCTGTGCTCGCCTCTCTCCTAGGTATATGAAGTACCTATATGCCTACGAATGCGAGAAGAAATCCCTTAGCTCTCCTGCTGAGCTGCAGGCTGCAATCGATGGCAACAGGCGAGAAGGCAGGCGGCCCAGCTACAGCTCCTCTTTGTTCAGCTACTCGCCCACCGCCACGGGGCCTCCTTCCCTACTGTCTCCCCCAAAGATCCGCTTCCCCATCATTGGTGTCGCGCCAGGCAGTGGGACCAGCAATCCTCGGGTGTCTCCAGCAGCTGCTGTCAGAAAAGGTCAGCTACTTCTACCTGCGGTGGAGAGGGTGGCCAGGTTAAGAGGTACAGGCGCTGAAATAATTTCCATTTTGCCCACCCAGAGTAGTTTGGACTTGAGAGCAGCGGGACATGGGTGGCTTAGGGTTTGCAGAATGTTGTGCCTGCAGTTTAAACTTTTGCATACTTGCTTTAGGGAGGGCTGGAGGAGGGACGAAGTGACTCTCTCCTTTTCTAGGTGACGGTGTGCCCTTGACTGTGTCTATGCCAAATCGTATTGCTGTGCCAGTGACCTTGGCTAGCCAGCAGGCAACCGTGGCAGCAAGAACAGCCACCCTGGAGCAGCTGAGGGAGAGGCTGGAGTCAGGAGAGCCTCCGGAGAAGAAGGTCTCGCGGATGACAGAGGAGGAGCAGCGGCTTGTCCAGCAGGCTCTTCAGCGCAACCTGTTCAGCATGGCGCGGCAGATCCCCATGAAGATCAAAATCAATGGCAAGGGTAAGCAGCACCTCTGGATACATGGAAGGTCTTTGCAGACTGCAGCGGGGAGGGTATCAAACACCTCTTCACACACAGGCTTGATTATCTCTCTGGGTACCAGGCAGAGGTCGCCATCGAGAAGCTGTTAAAATGGAGTAACTGCAAAGCCAAACTGTAGCAGCGTTCTGTTAGGTTTCACTTGCTGCTGCTGGCTTGTTCTGTTTTGCTGATGCGTAATCCGGCCCAAGTTCAGAAATGCCCTCGCTGTGTTCAGAACATGCTGCATCTAAGCTGATAAAACTCACTTGACCCATATAAGAAGACCCTCACTCTGAGCTCGTGGACCCCCACGTTGATCGCAGTGAGACAGCTTCAGGACTCGAGCGTTCCGTCTCCCTAGAGCTTACGCTGTGGGCAGTTACCCGTTTTGGCTGATGCTAGCTCAGGTGTCCTCGCAGCAGTGCTCTGCTGCCTGCTGTACGTGTGTTCCTTCCCTCCTGGGAAGCACGTGGGACTGGCTGAAATCGCTTTGGCTCACACACCTGGCTCCCTCATCTTTAATGCCTGGTGTGTAGTTCGGATCAGAGTGTGGTTCAGCCTCACCAGGGACGGTTCTGTCATTCTGCAGTCCATTAGGTGACTTTTGGAGGGGATGCCCATCATGTGCCAGATGCTCAGATTTCCCCTGCCCTGCTCTTATCTGAGCCTCATGCCAGCATTGTGCTGCAGGGAATTATTTTCCATCCTTTCCCAGTCAGGAACCCTTTTAATTGATCGTGGAGGTAACAGCTTTTTCCCTATGGGTAGCAGGCTGCAGCAGAGATGCCCAGCTTTTAGGAATCCTTCATTAGGTGTGATGAGGAGGCCACAAAGATCTCTGTGTCTGCAGGGGGGCGATGCATCCCAGGGCTTTTAGCAAGTCAGGTGATTTCTACCAACATCTGCTGTGACCCTACGCACAGCCTCCAGGCAAAGAACTCCTGGCAAGGCTGGGTTAGAAGGTCACGTATAAGCAGCATTCATGGCCTGGGAAATGCACTCCTGAAATGGTTTGTAAAAGGGGAGTCACCCTGTAAAGGTCACGTTGTCAGAATCAATACGGTTATATAGTGGCTTCAAAAGCTGATTAAGTGCTGCAGCTCCCTTACCTGTCCTGGGGGCTGCACTTCCCTGGAGAGCAAAACCTCAGAAAATTTCACTCCCAACAGCTGCTTCCTCCAAACCTTTTGATCCATTAAAATTAAAGGTCTCAGACCCCCTATTAACTGCACGTTTGGGTGTAGGCACAAGGCCAGGCAAGTTTGGCACGGCTTAGACGAAGGGGGAGAGTTGCTGTTGAGGCCTTTGCTAGCAATGCTGGTAAATGCCTTATTGAGACCCTTTGCCAGAAAAATATGTATGGCAAAGGGTCATGGCAGGCTCCCCTTTGAAGCAGTAGCAGCTTGCTGCTCCAATGGGATTTGGACTTCGTGGTTCCCGACAACTGTGTATCCACCTGCATTGTAAAAACAAGGTGATAGGGTGAGTAAAAGGGAATACAAACTTTATCAAGTAATGTTCGTTCCCTCTCATGGTTGGTTTTTTTTTCCTCTCCACTCAGAACTTCCTAAATGAAAATGCCAGGAACAATTTTGGTCTCCACAAATAGTAACAGGCTGAGCCCTGAGGACTCAGTTCCTACTATTCCCAATTTGTAGGTGACTATGGACAAGTCTGTCCTGGCTTTCATGGCCTGATTTTTTTTCCCAATTGCAAAATAAGAATAATACTGCGCTTTGTGAAGTGCTTTTCGGAGTTGTTTTTGAGCAGCTCTGCATGAGCTTATCATAGCTCGCTAGCAACTTGTAGGTTAAATGTTAACAGTGTCCTTAGCATTCTTTAAAGGGACAGTGGACTTCTGCCCCAGCAGACTTGAAAGGAGCTAAAACCCTTGGATTTTACGTGCAGTGTGGGGGCCCGAGCAGCCTGTCTGCATAATCTCTCTGTTTTAATACCCCAGTGCCCCAAAACCAACATGGGGAGGGCTGGTAACCACGATACGGCTGTGCAAACTGTAAGCATGCATTCATGAGCACGCAGACCAGGCTCGCAGTTACGGCTCGCTTAGGTTGGGGCTTCAGAAGTGCCTGGCAGAGTTTGGTGTTCAGCTCCCTTTAATGAGTGCGAATAGAAACGCTGCTCTGTATTGGCACTTCCGGAGCTGCCCATCTTGGCTCCGAACGGGCTCTTTGGGCTGAGGACGGAGAAAATAACCTGGATTTGACACAGGCTATAGGGGCAGCTGAGCGTACGGTGTTCCTGGGGTTGAGTCCTTGGTGCTGGGAGTAGTCCCCTCCCTCCAGCGGCCGCTGGAGCCGCTGCAGCGTGAGCTTTGCAGAGAGAGAAGCACCAGCTCCTCCAGAAGCTGCCACCTCTCAGCGCAGGTGGAGAGGACTGTGCACGTGCCGCCAGTTTGCTGCGAACACGGCCGCGATCCAGCCAATTTAAACACGGTCTTGTCCCATGAGCTGGCAGACTTTTCCGTGGAGGGGAAGTTCATTGTGTCAGCTGGGAGGAGATTTACACATTGCTGGTGGAATCCCAGCCCTCAGTCACCCACACTGAAGCACTTAAACACCTTTGTAGACTTTGTAGGACCAGAAGCAGACATCGTGTGGGGATTTCCTCTGCAAAGAGACAGAAGGAGGGCTGTGTACACCTAGGATCAGCTCTGGGTGGTGCAGGTAACAGGGTAGTTACTCTCTAACTCTGCATCTCTTCTTTCTTGAAAGACGACAAACCGGACGCGGCGGCGCTGAATTTGTCACCGAACGGCATTGGGAGCATTAACATGTCGGTGGAGATTAACGGCACAATTTATGCTGGTGAGAAAGAGCCGCTCCCGGGGATCGGGCGGGAGGCGGGCTGGTGGTGCAGAGTGGGACGTGGGGAGGGTGGCGTGCTCTTTGCCACAGCACGCCATGGACAACCCCAGCAAGTTCAGTAGGAGGTGATTGCTTTTCTCCTTCTTTGGTGCCCGGCACTTCAAGGCTAATTACCCTTTCCTTGAGGAGGTGGTGGTGGTTAGAAACCCCTTCCCTTGGGTTTTAAAAATACTATAGAAGTGTTAGCAGAAAGTTAGCAGTTTTCTCCTCCTGAGGAGTGGCTTTACTCAGCTTTTCCTCCGGCATCTCTGGGGGACACAAATTGCTCTTGTCCCCTGTGCTCTGCTGTAGGGGACTGACATTCAGGGGACGTCCTTGGGCACAGCCTGGCACTGCGGTGCAGTATGTACCACAGGAGGTTGCTTCTCTCCTCCAGAGGTGTTGAGGCCATCAGTCCTCTGTGAGAGAGGCTGCCGGAGCGAGTCCCCAGGATCCCTCCTTATGTCCTGGTCACGGAGCCTCTGGTCTGTCTTCAAGCCTGCGTGATTTACACCAAGCCCCTTTCCGTTAGGCTGAGGACTTTGGGCTTGGGTAGACTTTGCACTGTACCCGATCCTTCCCAGCCGTGCCACCCTGCAGTCCCAGTAACCCTTCTCTTCGCCTCTCTGTGCCCTGCAGGAGTGCTTTTTGCCCAGAAGCCAGTCGTCCATCTCATTGCCGGCTCCAGCACCCAAAGTTCGCAGCAGCAGCAGCAGCTCCCACTGCTCTCCCAGCCCTACCTCATCCCGGGGAACCCCCAGCGCAGAGCCCTCCACCAGCTGGTCTCTCTGATGGACGGCCGAGCCTGCTGTCTCACACTGGCCCCCAGCAGCTCTTCCTCTCCGCTCTTGGCAGGGAGCGAGCCGGGAAGGAGTCGCACAGATTACCTCATCTCAAGGAACCTCCTTTTGTGGTTGGCCAACGGCAAGATGATGATGATGCTGAAACCTTTCCATGCCAGCGAGTTTTTCTTCATCATCTGTTTGTCCAGCCTCTTTCTTTGTTCTCCCCTTTCTTCCTCCCCTTCTGGTTTTTTGTTTTCTTCCTCCTCCTCCCAGGGTGTGCTGTGTTCCTGTTGGGGGGTGGGGCATGGAGGG